ATCCGCCCCTGTTTCCAAAGCAGCAAATAGTTTATAGAATAGAATATAGTAGAATTAATTACACCTTCTTCCCTCATAATCCAGGCATAAATCCACTTGGGGAATTATTAGAGATCAACAGTTAGATACTTGACCATGTCAAAGCAAACCGCGTTTTTGTCAAGCAAAAAAAACACTTTAAAACTGCACCGAACCAGTTACCGGCTTCTTTCGTTGGTAACTCATCAGCTAAGCGTTAAGCGCGTTTTTTGAAATTAAACATACTTTTTGTAGACAACTGTGAAGGTTTCAACTGCGGTCGATTATTATGCACCGACTCTCCGTTTTCTTCACAATTGAAAACCCTTTTGTAGACATTTGAATTTGAATTGTCCACTTCGATGAATTACAGCATTTGTTCGAGGCAATCAACACTTTTTCTTTCACACTTTCACATTTTTGTTCATAACTCACCCACTTTTGCTGCTATTTTGGAATTTCGATACACCGCCTGTAGAAAACGGAATTTTTAAAAAACCCTGCTTTCTGAAAAACTGGCGATCTGAAGATGGGTTCGAGAAAATGAACTGTTGAACCATCAAGCGAGCCAAACTGCACACCGGTTCCAGTTTTCCCTTTTAACTCGCTTTTTGACTTAATTTTTGAAACTAAACACACATTTTCTAGACAGTTGATTTGTCTAGATCCACTCTTAAAGAAAACATTTGCGATTGAGAAATATTTTCGACAAAATCAACGATTAATCCTTCCAGCGCAATCAGCGATTCCAGCAATCATGCAACGACTCATAGACTTTTATTGCGGATTAAAAATTTCAAAAACTGCCTTTTAGACAACTGAATTCTCTAAAAGCTTTGCAACTTAAAAAACCGGCCTTGTGAAAATATTTTGGAAAAAATGGACTGCTACAGAAGACAGCGCAGCGCGTCAAACGATGTCTCGTCTTCTGCTTAGCTTTAATTGACTATCGGCCTAATTTCTGAACCTTAGAACGCACTTCCTGGACAGAAAAACTTTCTAAAAAAACTGAAGACTAGAAAAAGTTTTCGAGAAAACCATCGCTTAATCCAACTTAATCAACTCAATTTGTCCCTCACAACTCATAGATGCATGGTTCAATTTTGGCCTTTCAACAAGTGGATGAAAGACGGTTAAATTCCCTAATAAGAGGTGTTTATTTCAACATTTTCATTAGGGGACATTTTTTTGGAAAAGCCGAGCGTTGGAGCCTCAATTGCGCCCAACTCCCAATCCATCGCGTATGATCCAGGCAAAGTTTTGCTTATAATTCATCGACTTTGATTGCGATTTAAGAAATTCAAAAACCCAGGCATAGATGTTGAGTCGAAGCACAAAGTTGCTTGTGACAAAATGAGCTTTTTTCAAAAGTTTTCAGAAAGTCAATGAATGAGAGAATTAACTTCTCTCTCAAATAAGTTGCATTCTGAGAAAACGCTAGGGCTCTACTAACTTTTTCCTTCATAACTCACGGACATTTACCCCACTTTTCAAAGGAACTATCCTCATCAGACCCTCCAAGCGAGCTAATTTGAACAAAGATTCCGCGTTGCGGGAGAATTTTGCCAATTTGTTCATTTTTTGCGAGAATTTTTGTTACTTACCCCCAACAGAAGAACGGGTAAATAATTCAAAAAACTTACTTGGATAGGATGCTTTTTCTATTTTCTCCCGGAATCGCTGATCGTATATGGACATGTTCGTATTGCCAAGTTCGGCTTGATAGCTTTTGATGGCTTGATGTGATGTTTTCATTAATCTTAACTCGTGACTCGATACGATCTCTGACTGGGATGCGGCTAAAATAAAATAATTTATTAGTTTTGCATTATTATCATCGAGGAGTTTGCGTGAGTGTGAGAGTTTTGGGTTAGTTTGGGTTAGTCTGCGAATAAAACGCGTTTTTTCTTGACTCTTTTTCCGGCGTTCAGTCGCTGAAAAACAGCCAAAAGTTTGGCCCAGGAAAAAATGTCTTTTATGCATAATCTGTATTATGAATGTCTGAATTTCTGACCGATATTCTTTATCTTAATGGTCTCTACGCCGAAAAACAACATGTTTACTTGATTGATTTTTTACTGCGACTATGCAGAGTTGTTTGAAAGTTCCAGTTCAATAACCCAATGAACCCAATTTCAAACTATTTTGTATATTACCCATAGGTTGTAGAAAGTAGATTCTATCGCATTCCTTCATTAAGTCGTCAAATCGGTTTATTAAGCTGTTATGGTCGAAGAGATGAACGATCCTCGCAAAAGGATGAACCGAGTATACCATGGGACTATATAGGTTCAAGATAGACTTTAGCTGTAAAAACGTTTCCAGATTAATTGCTACATTTAATTGAATAATTGCTACCTGGATCATTATTTCTATTGCGCCATAGAAAATGGGCGATACCGAAGAAATGCTGGCCAGAACCGTTATTCCTAAGATGCTCAGATCTTCAATGAATGTTCTCCAAATCATCGCCAATTGTTTAGCGGCAGGCAAACTTTGGTTGACCGCAAATATACCCAATGGTTGATAGGTATGGTCAGAGACAGTCCTAAACACAGCAGCGTTGATTTTTTACAAACTTCTTTTTGGGTATTTCGCCTCAAAAATTTTTGTCCAGACAGAATTTCCTCACGTCTTTTATTACAGATTGATAAATAGTGCTCCTATTTCGCAATAA